ATACATACTTTTCCAAGATCCAGCTAGCTGCCCTGCCCTGCCCTGGTTGGTTGATGATATCATAACATCTGGGCTTTTAGAAATAAATAGGCAACCATTATGTCAACTGTGAACCATAATTATAACAAAAACATGAAACAAAAGTAGTAGGTTTCCATTCAAATGGGGGTGGGGGAGAGACAGGATCATCTCCCATTTGCTTATTTCCTAACATCTTTCATCTCTTTTCCAACAGAGAAAGTTGGCCAATAACATATGGAAAGGCTAAGACAAAGAATTCTGATTATTTTCTCCTTTTCCTTGCCTGTGGGCCTTCTCCCAAAAGCACCTGGTAATGGGAGCTTGATTTTTCTCTACTAGGTCAGAGTAACATTATGTAGCTCTTTAGAAAGTTCATCCCTATAGTGCTCAGTATAGACACTATGAAAAGGATAATCAACATTCCCCCTGCTGGCTGACTTTTTCAAAGAAGCTCATTCATATGAGAAGTATTTGAGAAATTTCCAATGGAAAAGTTCAAGGGAAAGGAATTTCTTCTCTCTCCACAACCTCCCCCACCCCCAGTACGTCCCCCAAAACACCACCAAAACTACTTGCCCCCTAGAAAAACATAATTTTCAGTTGTCTGTGAGGAACAGAAAAGAATTTAGCTTTTAGCAGGGTTTTGCGCCGCCAACCAAAAAGTTAGTTCTGCCTGAGCAGGAATTAGAGAGTCACCATATATTTGCTTTGACTACAGTAACCATTTTCTATTGTGAAACCATTGTGGTCTATTTTAAATTAAATTATCTTAGATTTAGATTAAAGCATGGAATTGAGAACCAAGTGTTTTGAATTCTTGCCCCAAGTCTGCCAAGGTCGTCTTGTGTGAGATATATATATTTTTTGAGGCAGTCATTCTGTGCCTTGTTGCTCTCATTTTAAAAAATGAGAGCATTTTGAAGTGTGAAGCCCACTGTGTTGGTGTGTGGGACAGTCAACCCCAGCCCCAAATCAGCAATAGTGCTGTGAAAACCTGCTCCTGTGGCTCTGATTGGCGGAGTCAATGAGTATGCAGGAGAAACTAGTTGAATAGAGAGAATGCAGGAAATCCTGCCCTGTTGCAAGCCCTCCTGGCAAGAAGCAGCAGCACCAGCAGCAGCCAGCACAGTGACAGATGTGTGCTTCACTGTGCATCTGGTAGCGTGGGGCAGCCTGAGATCCAGCAACTGCTAGAGGAACCAGGATTCTGAGTCAGAACTCTGGGTTGGGGCACCATAAGCTTGCGTCATACTGTCCATAGGGATCAGCCCAGAGCTCAATGGTAAATGATTCCCCTGATCATTGACTGAGGGACTCTGGGATGACATGTTGCTGATTAAGGTGACTGTCACTGATAAAATAGGAGGTTCTTCGAGTGGTGGTTCATGTCTATTCCAATCAGGTATGTGCATGGCAGCCAGAAAACTTTTCCCTTAGCAGCATCCGTCAGATCGGCCTGGGCGCCCCCGGGAGTCGCGCCTTCATGGTGCTCAATATAGAGCCCTGCCGACCCGCCACCCCCTCAGTTCCTTCTTACCGCCAGTGACGGCTAGCTGGAACAACCTGTTGCTCTTGCTTTGCAAGCACATTTGGGCAGTGTCCACTCTTCGTGTTTATAGTTCTCAGTTTACTAGTGTTAGTTTAGTATTAGTAGTTAGGTCATAAGTTTCCTTTTGGGGGTCCCGCACCAACCTGGTCCCCAGGGTATGCCCTGGTCCCCAGGGTTCAAACTCTGAGAGGACTGTGGAAAATTTATTTCTAAGAGCAACCCGCACTCTTCCTGTCTGTGGTGTTTCGGGGAGAGCCACCAGAAGGAGAGGTACAGAATTTGCAAAGGGTTTTGCCCTAGGACCTTAAAAGACCGGGAGCAAAGGCTCAAGATCCTTCTCATGGAGGCAGCACTCCAGCCACAATCCAACCCAGGGTCGGCAGAACCCAGGCCCAGCACCTCCTCATCAGTGCGCAGTGCTTCGGCACAGACGAAAGGACCCCAAGGAGTCACTGCACCACCACAGCTCCACCCATACATAATCTTCTCTGAGGCACTGATCTCAGTCCCTGATGACCCAGAAAAAGAAAAGGCCAGCAAGAGGTTGCTCTCCCCCTTCCAAGCCCAAGGAGCCTGCTGACGCAGGGAGACCCAAACTGGGCTATGTGACCTCGGCCCCTCTGCTTCCCAGGGTCTCATTAACTCCTATCTCCTCGGGGGTCCAGTCAAGTCTGAACCCTCACCACACTCTGGACTGACATGGCGGAGAGCTCCAGCTCCCCTCTACGCCAGAGGCGTTCGAGGCAGCGCAGGACCTTGTGCGCCTCATGGCGCCGTCCTCCTCACAGAGGCAAGACAAGTCACCCGTGACTGCTCAGCCCCCGATTCCGTCAAGGGGCAAGCCAGCTATTATGGCGTGCCGATCTTCATCTCCAGCGCACCTTTCCCCGGCACAGTCCACCCATGTGGGGGAGCCGCACTGGTCCCTCCCAGTTCCCGGCACCGCTCGCTGGCACCACGGAACACCACTCCTTCTCAGAGACCTCGGAGTCGGAATCCTACCTCTCCAATAGGACCAGGAACAGAAGGTCCAAGTCCCGGCGTGACTGCAAGCCCTATCTGGCGCCATGGCCACCGCAGTGGCAACTCCCGACTCTGGCCCTTCTGGACACCCTGGGCATATCATCAGGGACCGAACCAGGGGTCAAGGTCCAGATCCATGTCCTTCATCTCTCCGCAGGCACCACTGGCACCACCAGCAGCAGTGCCACTGACAGCTTTCCCTTCACCTGCGGCACTGGCATCGGCGACCTCAGCACCAACAATCTTGGTTATGGTGGTCCCGGCACTGCAGGCTGCTGATGTGGCGGCGCAGCAATACCAGGTGCCATGTGACCCCCTGGGTGCTGAGGGGAGTGAGCAGGGCCCATTGCCAGGGCTTTCCTCCTCATTCTCCCCAGATCAGACCATGGCAGGGACATCGATAGCCCCGGCCCTGGAGGACAACAGGGTCCTACAACAGCTGCTGCGACGGGTGGCCCAGAACTTGGGGATCCAGGCAGAGGAGGTGGTAGAGGATGCTGATCCTATGGTTGACATCCTTGCTGCTCCATACACACTTTCACCTTGCACTATGCAATCACTCCGCAGGCCAGAGATGATGTGGCCTTTGGAAGAGCACTGCTCTTCCTATCAGTGGATGACTCAGACCCTGCCTCCTGAACTTGGGGTTGTGAGTCACCTGATTTGGAGTTGACATGAACAAGCACTCGAAGAAGAAAAAACGGTTACTCCCCTTCTTGTAACTGTTCTTTGAGATGGGTATTGGAATGGACATGAACACCACACCCTCCTACCCCTCTGTCAGAGTAGCTGGCAAGAAGGAACTGAGAGGGTGGTGGGTCGGCAGGGCACTATATTGAGAGCCATGAAGGTGTGACTCCAGGGGGCGCCCAGGCCAACCCAATGGATGCTGCTAGGGGAAAAGTTTTCCAGCTGCCATGCATGTACCTGTTTGGAATGGACACGAACAACACATCTCGAAGAACAACAGTTATGAGAAGGTGAGTGACCGTTTTTTTTTGTTGTTGCTAAGTGTCAGAGCAATTTTTGGGTGAATTCCAGCTACCCGCTAAGGCTGTGGGAGGAGTCTGCACCCCAGCACAAGGAGAGGGAGATTGAAACACTCATTTATTATAGTGAATCCCCACCACAAGAAAGTTGCTAAAGAAATGTAAAGTATATTACTCCCTGCTTAGCTTTGAACACTATTGGTATTATAAGAGAGGTAGATGATCTGAGCTATTCTTAAAGATACCTGTGTGGCCATGGGCAATTCACTTAAGGAAACCACAGATGGAGATTATCTGGTAAATGGGAATAACCTCTACCTCACAGGGGAGTTTTGACAAACTTTTTTTATTTGTAAAGTGCTTTGAGATGATCCAATGACAACTGCTATAAAAAAGCAGAATAGTAGTACAGTAGAACCTCAGTTATGAACACCTTGGGAATGGAGATTGTTCATAACTCTGAACATGGTTGTCTGTTGAAACATTTACAACTGAACATTGACTTAATACAGCTTTGAAACTTTACTATGCAGAAGGAAAATGCTGCTTTTAAACATTTTAATTTAAACCAAAAACCAACTTTCCTTACCTTGTCAGATTTTTTTTATAACTTTCCCTTTATTTTTAATAGTTTATGCTTAACATGGTACTGTATTGCTTTTTTGTTGCTGCTGCTTGATTGCATACTTCTGGTTCCAAATGAGGTATGTAATTGACCGGTCAGTTTGTAACTCTGGTGTTCGTAACTCTGAGGTTCTACTGTCTTACTATAATAGCAGTGGCTTTGATCAAACGTTCCTCTTGTTTTAGCTACAAATTATTATATAAACATCTACATACTTAACATTCACCAAGTACAATTCTTGGAAAATGCATATGTTTTAGGGGGCAGAGTTAAGGTTCTGGTGGAAAGGTGTTGGTGGTGTTTTTTTTAATGTTCCTCTGGGTTTTGTGCAATTCAAAACCCCTTAATTCACTCTGTGTTTAACGTAGTTCATTTTAGCTTCTATCTGCAAATGATTAAAGTAGCATTTCTTCTCAACAGGTCTGGGTCCTTGATGATAAACCTCAAAAGACAATACATGTAAATCCTATTATGGGGGCAGGAGGGGGGAGAAACCCATTCTTAATGGGTAAACCAGACTCACAGGCCCCTTTCTGCTCTTCTATAATTGATAACCGTGAATAATACTTGGCCACCTGTTCTGTGTTTAACTTTCTTCCATCAAATTTAACATGAAAAGTTTGTCTGCAGCACAGAAATGCCACTGAGTTTTAGCTAGAACACGTTTGGACTGTGGGAGGGAGAGGTGGGTGTGTAAACTGCACCTACCTGTCTCCTTTCTACTTCAGCTGATATCGTTTGAGGGTTCCTACTTCTGAAAATAGAGTTGCCAGTATATACAGGATTTTTTTACCTGGACTAGCTGAATCGTGTGACTTTCTTCCTCACAAAGAGGCAAGTCAGCTCTCAGGACCAAGAATGCTAGGTGAATGCCCTCGTCTCCAAAGTGCTGAGCCAGAGCTGCCCTCATCGCTTGCTGCACCTCTTCTTTGCTCAGGCTGCTGTGAGGATACCCTGGTGTGTCCATCACGTGAACCCGCAGGGCTAGCTCATGGCCATTTCGGCGTGTGAAGCCTGAGATGCGGCAGCTGCATCCGAGACTGCAGCATGTGGTCACGGAGCTTGGGGATAGATGGCTGTCAAAGTCAAAGCTGCCCAGAAGGGTATTTCCAGCAGCACTTTTGCCACTTTGGGTCCTTCCAACCAAGAGAAGATTGATGGTCATCTCGTCGGTGTCAGACATTGTATCTGCCTTTGTCCACACACCTGTTTCAGCAAATCCAGAACAAATATTAACAGCTGTTTTAGCTGGGTGATACCTAAGCAACTTTCAGAAATAACCACTAAACCATAAGAACTGCACCTTGCAGCACTTTGACCTGCTCTGCCAGAAGCACTTTGGCACTCGACTCTGCACACTGCCCATCAGAGAAGTATCTGTGGCTGACCCCAAGGAGCATTCCTCTGTATCCACTGTCCACCCTTGCTATCCACAAATAGGGAACCCCAATTTGAGGTGCCATAGCAATTGTCCCACATCAGCAGATCTCCCATATCCAGAGATTTCAGAATCAGGAAGAACCAGGAGGGAGTTGAGAGAAACTAAGGAGGATAACTGACCAATGTAGGGGAAACAATCCAGCTAAGGAGAGAACAATGGGGGAGGGGGTGGGAGAGCCCCTACAGATGAGAAGGTGACAGGGAGAGAACAGAGGGGAGAGGAGTAGGTTCTGTAGCTCCCAAATGACTGTGTTTTGTGAGTTAAGCCTACATCTAGCCCTAGAAATCTGATGGCATGACGGAAGCAGCTCAAACCCCACAAAACATGGGGAACAGCTTGGGGAGCCTGTCCTCCACCACATGGGTAGCTCAGATGCTGTTCCAGCAGCCACCCTCTAAGGTGAAGACAGAGCCCAGAAATTGGTCTCCCCTCTGTCAAACAGCTGTTTAGAGTTACACACTTGAGCGGTACCACAGGTCAATGTTGTCCCAAAGCTGTCAATAGAGGGGGATTCAGAAGTTCCTGTTCCAGAACAAACACTCCAGAACAGGTGCCCTCTACCCCTTTCCAAGGTGATGCTGGCATAGCAACATCTGCCAACATTCCAGACTCTTCAGGTTATAACTCCAGAAATTTGTCTAATCCAGTTTAGTGAGGCAAAGTAGGTAAGGTAATATCTTTTATTGGACCAACTTCTGTTGGTGAGAGAGACAAGCTTTTGGGGTGTGTGGTTTTGTGGGTTTTCTCTTCCCCCCCCCCCCTTTGCTGGTGTCAGTATGTTCCAGAGAGTTTTTAATGTACGGGTGATGATGGTTGAAGTTTTTCATGTTAACAGGCTACTTCATCTTGAATGGTCCCTTGAAATATGTATTAACTACAGTAACTTCTCAGTTAACCTTTGTAATTATGTTCCTGAAAAACACTATTTTAAGTGAAACCATGTTAAGCAAAATCAATTTTCCCATAAGAATTAATGTAAATAGGGGAGGTTAGGTTCCAGGGAATTTTTTTTCACTAGACAAAAGACCTCATATACATATGCAATATAAGTTTTAAACAATTTAATACTGTACTCACAAATGATGATTGTGAAGCTTGATTGAGGCAGGGGCATAGCGGGGTTGGGGCACGGAGACTTGACTCGCTCTGCCTGCCTGGGAGCGGGGTCGAGGGCTTGCCCACTTCCCGGCTGGAACGCTGGGCAGGCGGAGTGGGGTAAGCCCCTGACTGGAATACAGAGCGGGGTGAGCCAAACAACCTTATAACAGAACATTGCGTGACTTTAAACAAGTATGTTCTAATAGATCAGCAACCTAATAACGAAACAATGTTAACCGGTAAAAAGCAACAGAGGGTGCTGTGGCACCTTTATGCTCCAATACTTCTGTTAGTCTTAAGCTTTCGTGGGTGAATGCCCACTTCATCAGATGCAATGTTAACTGGGACGACTTTAAGTGAGGAGTTACTGTACTTATGGTAAACAATGTGTTCCACCTGTGACACTCTGAGCATGTCTACACAGCAAAGAGAAACCCAGGGCTGGCACAGGCCAGTTGTCTGGGGCTGTTTCATTGCTGTGTAGGCTTCTGGGCTCTAGGAGCCCGGAAGTCTACACAGCTATATAATAGCGCCACAGACTGAGCACTGTGAGCCAAAGGATATATAGTTTCTGTGTAGACTTACCCTCTGAGTACATTTCCCAGATCTGAGGAAGAGCTCTGTGTAAGCTCGAAAGCTTGTCTCTCTCCAACAGAAGTTTCCAGTAAAAGATATTAACTCACCCACCTTGCCTCTCTAATATCCTCGTACCACCACTGCTACAACCACCCTGGATGATACATTTTAGATTTGTGTAGCACCAATCACTGTAGGACCTAGGGAAGGGAAAGGTGATGATTGATGGTGATAGAGAGGACCGGCAACTAATTGTTTTCAATGTATACATACACAAATATAACAACTAAAAAGAGAGCTCCTCTTTATAGTGCCTATTAATTTAAAATAATGTAGTATCTTAAGAGCCTTTACTACCTGGATCCAGACCATTGATTGTCTCAAAAGGACTTTACATAAATTTTATAATTTAAAAATAATTAGGATTTCAGAGACATGTCAAAAAAGACAATGCCCATATTTGGGAATAAAGGGTTGGTCTAGGTAAGCAGTGACACTAGAAACTTCACAAACATTGTTTAAAGGACTGTGATATTTAGTGTGCATATTCCTAGAATTCA